TGGGGGGGTGTTTGAGGGGATATCATCTGCTAATAACAGTGAGTACAAGAATGAAGAACATGTTCTAACACTGATTGTGGTGATGCTTGTATAACTCTTCTTGATGTGATTATTGAATTATATATGTGAATTATATGCCAAAAAAAACTGTTGGGTAAAAAAAATAAAGATAACAAATGAAGTTTTCCATTTACTTTTTTTAATAATATTTTGATTGACATATTTTACTCATTCCAATAGATCCATTCACATACAGTTCTCTTGTTCAACGCTATCGGGTGGGGTTATATAAACATCAATGGCATCAACTCCCCTTCCCTCCCCTTCCCCACCCCTCACTTCCTGTGCCCTCATGGAACCATTACTCCTGTCACTGTCTCTGAGGGGGTCATCTATCTTGACTACCATGTACCGAGCAGTCTTAAATATACAAATGCGCAAATGCAAATCAAACAGGATTAATGATTTATAACACATAAAGACCTTAATAGTAAGGGGAGGAAATCTTAAAGGACTAGAGGAAAGTTATGTGGTTCATCAGTGCTATACCACACCCTGGATTTATCATTGGTTCCCTGTGACCTTTGTGAGAGGGACTGTCCACTTGTCTTGCTGGTGGGGTTTGGGTCTCCACCATAGCCACTCCCCTTCATATGGATTTGGTTGTATGTTTTTTGAACTTCTGATACCTCTTCCCATCAACATCTCATGATCACACAGGCTGGTGTGCTTCTTCCATGTGGGCTTTGTTACTTACCTGCTAGATGGCTGCTTGTTTAATTACAATCTTTTAAAACACCAGACTATCTTTTAATAGCTGGGCACCATCGGCTTTCTTCACCACATTTGCTTATGTACCTATTTCGTCTTCAGTGATTGTGTTAGAAAGGTGAGTATCATGCAATGTCACATTATTAGAACAAACCATTCTTTTACTGAGGTAAGACTTAAGTAAAGGCCCAAAGTCCATTTGCTTCTTTGTTGCATTTGCATATATATACATATATAAACAAATACCCATATGTTTATATATGTGTATATATACATTTTTTCTTTCCTCTTTTATCCCCTCTCCTATCCCATTATTATGTTTACCCACCATTCACCTCTCAGTAGTTACTCTCACATAAAATCCGATTGATTAAACACAACCAGGAAAGCTACACCCTCCTCATTGTCAATTGTAGAACACTTACTATTCCCCTGTACCCATCATTGCTATCTCCCCACTCACCTCCCTCACACCTCTTTCCCTCCCATGCCCACCCATCGGTCCAGTCACTGTTCCTGGGAGATTA